ATTTTCAGCATCATTACTCCAGTCTTCAGTGTCACGTGATCCTTCAGAAATCATTCTAATATGCTGATTTGCTGATTATCAATATTTAAAACAGTTGAGTACATTTTTTTTCAGGATTCTTTGATGAATAGAAAGATCCAAAGATCAGCATTTATCTGAAATAAAAAGCTTTTGTAACATTATACACTATTCCATTCAGTATAATTTTTATAATTTTTTTGGGAAAGAAATTATAGAAATTTATAATTTTATTTAGCAAGGATGCTTAAAATTGATCAAAAGTGATGATAAAGGCATTTATAATGTTACAAAAGATTTCTATTCCAGATAAATAGTGTTCATATCGATATCGGAATTATATCGTATCGACCGAAATTAAGAAATATATCGTGATATAAATTTTGGCCATATCGTCCAGCCCTACTGTAGAGAGGGGCATTTTGCTAAATATATACACCATACAATATTCCTTATAAATTTTACTAGTGCTGGGCGGTATACCAGTTCATACCGAATACCGGTGTTTATTTTTGTTATGATATGAATTTTTAAAATACCGCAATACCGGTGTATGTCGGTGTAATTTTTTTATTTTTTTTGTACAAAATGAGATTTAAGACAAATTATAAATTAAATGTGTCCTTTTATTATTGCTTGGACAAAATGCTGCACATTTCTTTGTGAAATTGAAATATAACACTATAATAATATACTAATATAGCACTTGCATATCACTGCCCTTTTGTTGGTTTTGATTGTTTCTATTGTCCTCATTTGTAAATCGCTTTGGACAAAAGCTTCTGCTAAATGACAAAATTTAAATATAATGTAAATGTAAATAACAATACTACATTGAAATTTTAAAACAAGCCCCAAATCAAATAAATAAATAACACAAATAAAATAAATATCTTCATATAAACAAAATAAGGCTTTGTCTGTGCTCTTTCCATTTAAAATTAGAGGCAACCACTGCATTTTAATCTTGATCCAAACAAAGATGCTGCATACATGCAACATGAGCAGTTTTTAAACTAAATTAAATTGTATAATTTCGAAATTTGAAGCAAAAACAGAATGGTTTGACTTCAGTTTTGTGAAACTATAAATAAAAATATCTGCATGAAACAGCAGACGTGCTGAACGAGACGCAGATTCACTCTCTGCCAGTAGGTGGCGCTTACAGCGTTTCCTGGTTTCCGCTGTAAACACAGCTTATGAACTTTAATATGCATTATACAGAGGCAAGATGAAAAGAAAAAATACCATCTAAACTTTTCTAAAGACAGTAAGTTCCCCTCAGACATGCATTCATATAAACTCCTACACCTAAATGAATCGCGATTTGTTTAGCATCTCAACCGATTTGAATCGTCACATACTTGAATCGATTTTCAACCGGCTCGCGGTTAATCATTACATCCCTAGTGTAGATGCATGTTGATTTTATCAGACGAAGCTGCGATTATAAATGAGTGACTCCTGGTTAACATGTATTAAAAGGGGTCGTGTTTAGTCACTATTTAGTGTGGTATTTTTTATTACAATATTCACTCATCATGACAGTAAAATAGGGCATTCTAAGTCAATATACTGCAGTATTTTCTCTCTCAATCAGTAGAAAATATGGTTAACACCCGGTCATGCATGAAAAAAAATACCGTCATGTACCGTGAAACCGGTATAATTTTGAAAAATACCGTGATATACATTTTTGGTCATACCGCCCAGCACTAAATTTTACTGTTCAATGTTTAATTTATGTTTGAATAAATCCATCAAGTTTTTATGACAGCCACCATTATGTTTATATTTAAAAAACGAATTGAAGTAGAAATATTTTTATGTAACTGTAACTTTATTATTTTAAAAACTTAATTAAGTGTAATTTTAACACATCAGTCAATTGTAACTTTCAATATTATAGTAATGTAGTACCAACTGACTCATGTATATTTTACCGCATTAGTTGAGAGATTTTTTTTCCTTGAGAAAATTTGTTATGTACTGTACCTGCTATATAGCCAAAATAATCGATACTGAATCGAACCGGTAACGTTAATCGAATCGAATCGCAAGCTTGTGAATGAGAAGCCAATCGAATCGTGAAATTTGTGTCAAAACCCAGCCCTAAACCACAGATCCTCATAAAAATCAAAAACAAAAATGTGCTGTGTTATCAGTAACAAAGGAATAGTTAATTGTCATTATTTGGATAGTAGTAGAAAAGGGACAAGTACCATAAGTGACAAACTTACTATTCACTATTTAATTAATTACTAGAAATAAATAAGTACTAGTATACTAGTAAGATAAAAAAGACCCTAACGTTAGTTAGTTGGTTAATAGAATAAACGTTAATTCAAATGACTCAAGCTTTAACCCTAAACGGAGTTGTAGCTACATTACACTAAATTAGCTAACGCTAACAGTGTTGATTTTTGAGGGGTTTTAACTATTCGTCTGTACTTAGAACTAGCATTTAACTGACACTAAATACGCACGATACTCGATACGGTTATTGTACACAAAAGACGTTCATTTACCAGAAAATGTTTTACATGCTCCGTTAAAGAAAGACAAAAAACGAACGTTTAGATCACTTACTTGTGCTTCTTCCTAAAAACACACGTCTGTAATAATCAATTCCGCTTTCTGAAGACAAACTCGGTGAATGTTGACGCTGGCGACGCCGCGTGATTGAACAATATCAGTGTGACTGAACCAGAACAGTGTGACAGCAAGCGGGATCTGGCCTGAGGCTGAAATCAAAGTCCTTTTTGAAATCAACTGAAACAACAGGCGCTCGTCTCTACCGGGGCGGAGACTGCTTCGAAACGCCATCTGATTGGACGAGCTGCTTCGACCGTAAACGTACAGTAACCGTATCACTACCTTACAGCGTTGCCTAGTTTATGTAATGTCTGGTTATCTCACTCTTCTCAGAGATGTAATGTGTTGAGTAAATATATGAATCTCAAAACCTTTCAATAATATTCCCCCAGAAACAGAAAAAAAAAACAAATGAAGCCTATTAAGCACGTCTGTGCGATACGTGCTGGTAGGGAATGTTAATAAGTATAATTAATAATTTTGCCTAGTTATAAAAAGCAGTAAAAAGCCGCTTTTGTCATCCAGGGGTTGTTCATTGCATCATTTAGGAAGATGGAAAAAATACAGAACATTTCATGGCCCATTTCTCAGAAGAAACAGAACTTTCTATCTATCTATCTATCTATCTATCTATCTATCTATCTATCTATCTATCTATCTATCTATCTATCTCTCTCTCTCTCTCTCTCTCTCTCTATATATATATACATACAGTAAGTACAAATGCCCTGTAAGGTTTTTATTATTTAATATCAGTTTAAAAATTAAGGCACAGTGTAAAGGTTTAATAAACACATTGTCCTTTGTAACAAATTCTTACAACTTTGCATAAATAAATCATTATCATAAATACTCACAACCCACTAAGACAAGTCTAAATAAACTTCCTACACACACACACACACACACAGTTATTGCACCACTATTGCAGTCTACTGCAAATCTGAAAAATTGAAACCCAGAGCACAAATTCAGCTACGTTGGAAATCATGAAGTACCCTATAATAATACAATACTAAGTCTAATTGTACAGTATGTCCTGGTAAGAATGCATTTCTCCCAGGTGCTCTGTGAATGGCATCTATTTTTGGAAAGATGCTATAAAAAGCACAAATGTCCAAGGATGATGCTCGCATCTCCTTCCCAGGTTTCTCCTCCGCCCTGCAAAAGAACATCTCTTATGGGAAGTAGTTGCACGTCTCCTCCGTGAAGCTCTGAATTCCCCAGAACCCTCACCTGTGCTGTTACCTGCAAAGATAAGGCATGGGAAATACTTTTGGGTGACCTCCTGTTATAGAATAGCTTTACTTTACCTTACATGGTTTGGTTATGTGCCATTTTTGGAAACTTCTCATTTAGAAAAGTTGTTGTCAAGTGTCTTGCACTAATTACATGCCCTAAGATTACTTCTAACCTCACAACCATGTTGTGATATGATGACATGGGATGGATGGATTTCTTCATTGGAGTCTCCCCGTAAGCGTAACACCCTCTTGGCGGTATCCATGTGTTTAGAAGTGGGGCTGTGCTTTTTAGGACATGTCAGGCTGATGCTTTGTGTGGCAGAGTTGCTGTGCAACCGTAGGAATCGTAGTTGGACAACATTAAGATCTCTGTACTCAAACTGTGGAGTGCAATAATCAGAAAATTACATTCATTAAGATGCCTGCCATTCTTAATAAAAATGATGATATTCACAGCATAGTTTCCATAGCAACAAAAAACACAGTGTTAGTAAATTAACAAGAAATTACATCATCTTATGAAATTCAGTCAGTTCTTTACCTTGAAGCCTCTGTCAAGCTCACTAAACCACTTTTTAGATCTGTCCGCTGATAGCCACATCCCTGAAATCTGACAAAATCACCACAAATGTACACACAAATATAGTATTATATTCAACAAAACAACTGTGCATATGTTATTCTGTGTCTGTGTCCATATGTTATTGTATTATTCTGTGTTTAGCTGGACTGGTACATTTCTTTAAAATAAAGGTTCTTTATTGCCATATGGTTCCATGAAGAACCTTTAACATACATGGAACCTTTTCATTCCACAAAAGTTTCTTTTTAGTGGAAAAAGGTTCTTTAGATTATTAAAATGTTCTTCACACTAAGAAAAAATGGTTCTTTTAAGAACGGTTTACTGAAAAGTTCATTGGGAATACAAAAGTGGTTCTTATGTGTAATCCTTTTTGGAACGTTCATTTTTAAGATTGGAAACTAAGTGTAATAATAATGGACAATAAATATCTTTCAGATTTTGAGTCTACAATATCTTCCAGTTTTTAATCCCACTTTTAGGCATCTCAGAGTAAAGAAAAACATAAGTTTACATGTCTTAGAATCACCAAAGGAGACTGACTGTGAAAGTCCTCTTACTTTAGACTGGACAGGAGACACACAAGTTAGACCACCAGCAGTAAAATTACAGAACACACGGAGAGCATCAATCGGACATCCGTGGTTTGGGTCAATGTAGTAGAGCCCTATAAACAGGACAGGACAGTAAATTAAAAATGTCCTTCTCTATTATTTAAATTTTTAAAAACAAGAGCCACATTTTTGGGTCTGAAGTTCCAAGTGGTTTTCTGCTCACCATCTCTGAGGTGAGGCTGGATGAGACTCAGCTCTCTGCAGGTGGTTGCTGGGTTGTCTTTGGTTCCTTCCTCAATCTCATCTTCAGGGTCATCAAATCGAGACTTCCTGGATAATAACCGTGCTTTCTGAAAAGAATGTGCAAAGACAATCGATCAATATATTAAAACCTTCATCTTAGGCCTTTCTGCAACCCAACCCCACCTTTCCCTCTATATTTGACAATAAAAGTGTTTCAGTGCTCAACAAACCAAGGTTGACTGCTTGAGTTTGTACCAACATTTTGTGATCCTCTTTTCTGAGCATGAGGTGGAGTATTGAGCCCTGGTATCTGCTGGCTGGGAATTCCTGGTTTTCCCTTGTTAGATGATGCAATCGAGTCAGGATATAAACAGATTAAGACACATCATCTCTTAAAAAGGAATAAAATAAGTATGACATTAAAGTGAAATTAAAGTTAAAGTGTGAAATTAAAGTCAGGAAAACTATTCCACTTACAGGTGGTCCTCTCCGACCTTTCACACCTTTTTGTCCTGATATTCCCTGAACTCCTTTCATACCCTGTTGATATGAACAATACTTAAGAAAGCACATTTAACTCTATTAAGCTTTTTGAAAAAGGGTCGAACCTTGGCTGTTCAATGGTGAGTGGGTGTGACTGTTTTATATTGTGGATATTATATAGTTTTTATTCAACACATATATTAAAAAAAAAAAAACTGTATGATCATTTGTTGTTTGTTCAGATTGCATACAGTATATAAAAGTTTTAAGTTTTGAACCACTCAGATTGGGAAACCTTCAGAGAGGTTAAAAAATAAATAAATAAACAAATAAAGGAAAGAAAGACAGAAAAAGACCCAATCAATCACTCAATCAAGCAATCAATCAATATCTAACCTAAAACTTTTAAACAGTGGTGTTTATAAATAATGGGTTTAAAAAAAAACAAAAAAAACTCTTAGACCTGAAAAATGTTTTTAGCAACAACAACAACAAAAAAGGTATTTTCCGATTTTTGATAAGTGACCTAAAAAAAAATTCACCATAACTTCTCTTTTCTTTACCTTTTTAATTCATATCTTGCTAACTTAATATATTTTGAGGTATCAATCATATTTTAAATGCCATATTTTCAATTTTTCATTGTGACCATTTGAATACTGCCTGCCAGGTCAGTCCGTGAACGTGAAATCACCAAGTGAACAACATTCAAATCAACCAATCAGAACTGAGGGATAAGTTTACAGGAAATGTAAATTTTAGCCTTACAACCAGAGTTAGGTACTTCTACACCCTTGTTATTCAACCATCATTTCCCTCTGATTTTAGGGATAAATTATGGGTAGGGTTAGGTTTAGGGGTAGGGATAGGGTTAGGTATATATTTTTGGACAATAATGTTGACCCAGGAACAACAAAAGATGTTGATCCATGAACATGTCTTGCTTGGCAAAATGACGGTGACCCAGGTCAGTCTGACTGTAATAAGATCTGTATCTACACTGTACCTACCTGGTTCAGGTACAGGGCAAAGATAAGCAGAGCTATATAAATTACAATCACACCTGCAATTTCAGTACACACCTTCCTTCCAGATGGACCCTGTAGAGCGAAACAAGACTGTGTGATCTATGCTATTGTTCTAAAGCAGATAAAGCTGGTCAGTGAGTTTACAAAGGGACGTACAGGAGAACCAGGGAATCCTTTGCCACCAGAAGGCCCACTAGGACCAGCTTCGCCCTGCAACAAACAACATATTTATGAATAAAGAAACAAAAGATTAAAGTAAATACTGTATGTCCACAAAATACTGCAGGTTTACCTGTATACCTTTTGACCCAGGATGTCCCTTGTACCCTGGAACACCTTGCTTTTCCTGCCAGATGAAGGAAAACATTTGTAACTAGTGAAAAAAAAGCAACTGGTTGTTTTTTTGATGTGCTTTCAATGTTTCATTTGAACTTACCTTTTCTCCTGGTGGTCCAATGGGCCCTTGCAATCCTCTAATACCAACATGGCCCTATAAATTGCATTAATGAGCAATGAGCAAGGCCTTTAAATGATCAATATGATCAAAACTTTGCTGAAAAACCTGCTGTACACAATCTACTATATGCTTTCTGTTGTCTGATTGACATTTTTAAAAGGCTTTTTTTGTATACTTCCAATTACATCTTACTTTCTGGCCATAGAAATATCAGCTACTGCACCAAATTGCATATTTTTGCTCAGTTTGGGGCTCTGAATAAAACTGGGGGGGTTTTTTTCCTTCTCGAGTATGATCTCCATATTCTCCTGAATCATACTACATGAGCAAATACAATATGATACTCATCAAAAAAATAAAAAATAAAAAGATCTGTTTTCTTCTGAAGGTTCAATAAAAATTTGATTTTTCTTACTATTATTTCTTATGTCATGCTTTATAGAGTTAAGAATGCTAAAACAATTGTCTATAATCAATGGATACAGTGGTACCTTTGGTCCTTTTTGTCCGACATCTCCCTTTTCACCTTGAAGTCCCAGAATACCCTAAGTTTTAATCAAAAAATA